GCAGCACCCTAAATTTTCAAGGTGCCGAGTCTTCAGGTTCCCAAGATCCTAAGGATGTACAAATGATGGCAGGGTACCCCCGTGCTCTGAAGAGGGGCCGCAGCCTTTGCTCACTGCTCACCCCATCTATCACCCAGCATTTGTCCTTGCAGTGCCCAGGGGAGGGGATTGGGGTGATCCCCCCACACCCACATTCCCAGGGGGTGTGACTGGAGGGGCTCCAGGGGGAGTTTTGGGGTCTGGACCCACTGCCCGCCTTTGTCATGCTGATGATGCATTTTGGGCACATCCCAGAGCACTTTCCCTGCCAGGGGGTTCAGGACAGACTGAACCCCAGGACAGGGTGGGTCAGGATGGATCAAGCCCCAGGACAGGGGAACTGAAGCCCAGAGGGGTTTAAGGGACGGATTTGGGGGTCACACTGCCTCTGGGACCCTGCACACCCCCCCAGCCTCCCCATGGCGTGTCCATGCATGGATAGGGATGAGTCATCATTAAAAAAAAAAAAAAAAAAAAAAAGGAAAAAGGATTTGCAGGAGGAACAAATCCTTTTTACTTCTGTGAAGCACCTGTAGGATTAAGACAATGCTGGTTATATAAGAAGTGGAGAAGGGTGGATTTCAGCATTAGTGTTATTATTAATATTTATTTATTATGCTTCCTCACCATCCCATTATCCTGACAAGTGTATTCTGGGGAGATTTGGGGAGAGGCTGGTTAGGGGGAGAAGGAGGAGATTTGTTGTAGGGCTGGTGCAGAGTGATGCACCATTTGCCTTTTCTTCCCCCAAAGCAGCAGGGGCCAAAATGGACAGTGCAAAAGCACAGCTGGGACAGGGATGTTTGATCTTCTCCATTACGGCTCATTTGTGATGATTTTGGGTGGATTATCTCCCTCCTGCTTCTGGCTGGTCACATTTTCAAGGCCAGGTTGGGCAGGGCTTGGAGCAACAAGGTTCCCTGCCCATGGCAGGGGCTGGAATGAGATGAGCTTTCAGTTTCCTCCCAACCCAAACCATTAAATATTTCTGCCATGCTGTGATTCTCTTCCCAGGGGCATTCTGGGGGTGGATGGACGCTCACAGAGGGGCTGGATCCCTCTGCTGAGTGCAGGTGACCCTGGGCCACCCACCTTCACCCACCTCCCACAGCAGCTGACAACGCATTTCCACTCCCCTCCCTTCCCCTGCTGCCTCCTCTGGAAAGCCTCTCTCCCATTCATATCCATTTTTAAAGAAAACACACAATCAATAGTCTCTCAGGCTGGAATTTCATTAAGGTTTTCATTGCACTTGCTATCGATTGGCAGCAGGGCCGGGAGCTGCACGGAGCTGATGCTGAGCCCTGCCTGCTCTGGGACACCCCAGACCATCCTAAAGGGAAGGGGCCATGCAGAGAGGGTCTGGCTGCTCCCATGCAGGCAGCAGAAAGCTCAGCATCCCAGATTTTACTGGATTTTACCATCACTCACAGCAAAACCAGGAGCCCAGGGAAGGGCTGGAATGCTGGGGTTTCTTTCATGAATCAAAACAAAGGCTTTGGTACACAACAGGCTCTCTCCTGCCTCCCCTCCATGGGATGCTGCTTGTTCCAGGATGTGTAAAACCAGGCTGGAATGCTTGGCCTTGCTTCCATCAAACACGGGGGCTGCAAGTAAAGAACACCCAGAGCTCTCAGTGTGGAAGGGCACGCTTTGCTCCGCTGCCGGTCGGTCACTTGGAAAATCAAGTGAAAAATCCCAACCTCTAAAAGGGCTCTGTGGGCTAATTTTAGGTCTGGGCCTTGACCAGAGAGATTTACAATAATTGCCAGGGTGAAAGTTTAACTTCTCCCACGACTTTTCTCAGCAATCCCCAAGGAGCCGCGTTCTGCTGTGCAAGGAGCATCCCCGGGCCAGCTCCCCAAATTGCCTTTTTAAGGCTTTATTTTAAAGCCAAACCCACAAGCTGCTTAAACAGGACAAAAATCCTTCACCAGTCCCAGTCTGGAGCTGGTGGGAGCTCCTGTGGATGGGGATGAGCTTTGCCTCAAATCCTTGTCCCCATTTTTTGGTTGTGCCAACCCCTCAGACACCGAGCAGAGCCCCCATGACCACCCCTATTCCCCCTCAGCCCTAAACCCTTTTAACGGACCCACGAGAGGACCAAAGCTTGTAGAACAACAGCCTTTCTGCCATGCTAAATGATTTAAAATTGGTGGTGAATTAACCGAATATCTGCCTGCTCTTGCCAATTCTCATTACTCCGGGACTCCCTCGGAGCGATTAGCTGCCTTAAAAAAAAAAAAAAAAAAAATTGCTGGAAGGAATCGAGCGAGTGGCTGAGCCAGCGCTGGGGAGGGCTGCTGGCAGGGCAGCATCCCGGCTGGAGCGTGGCGTGCCCTTGAAATCCTGAAATCCTGCGCCCGGAGGCATCCGGCATCTGAGTGGAGCCAGCCCGGAGCTCCGGCTCCATCCTCCTGGGGGGCTGGGGGGGATCCGGGGAGCTGGCACCGCCATGCTGTGCCTGATTATCCACCAAACCCTGGTGCTGTGAGGCCGCAACAGCCCGGTGGAGAGGGGAGGCTTGTGAGCATCCCGGGAAAAGCCTGGAGGGCAGTGCCAGCCCGGCCGTGAAGCCATTCCGGGCACGGCAAAGCCGGGTGTGTATGCGAGCTGTCAGGCAGGCAGACAGCCCCCAGGCACCTCCCGGGCTGTCACAGCTGCAAATTGTCCAGGAGCAATCCCTAATGGGATGTAAGGGGAGGATTTGTTGGAGGAAGATGTCACAGGGATGAAAGGGGGAAAGAGAGGAAACCTGGAGAAATAGCGGTTTGGGTTTGTGTTTATTTGCGGAGGAGAAATTGTTTTAAAATGTCCTTTGGTGTGCTGGAGAAGGCAAACAGGCAGTGACAGCCCAGCCACGGGGCTGGAGGAGCCTTCACTGATGGGAAGACCTTGAAGTGCAAATTCCCTGCTCCTCCTCACCCTGCAACTCAGGATTTACCTTCGAGAGGGAGCAAAGCCCTTTCCTTTCAACACAAAATCTGTGTTTAGTATTTCCTCTGTGACCTGAGCTTTTTCTTCCCCAGAGTGTTTGTGCAGCCCTGGATGAGTGTTGCTCTCCCAGGATGACCTCAGAGATGGACAAGCCCAACCACAGACCAGAACAAAGCCTGAAATTCCTTGGGGGAGGATGCACAAACTGAAAGGGATGCAAAACCAGCACCAAAACCCATCCTCATCTTTCTGTGGGATAACCAGTGGAGTTTGGATGGAGATGGACAGCACCAGCTGAGGCAGGAGGTGGTGAGCGAGCTCCCAGCATCAGCTCACCCCACAACCCTTCTGTGTGCACACAGCCTGTCCCTCACCACATGATGGCTATTCTGTGCTCCAAACATCTGTCCAAGGTTGTGCTCAGCGACCTCTCAGTGTCTGACTCAGATGGGAGGGAGAAATATTTGGGGCTGATGAGTGGGGAGGGAATGCAGTCTCACTGTTAGGTGGAAAAGGGTTCAGGGCTTGATCCTTCTGCATCCCTGATGGTGCTGGGGAAGAATCAGGAGCACAAAGGGGTGTTCAGCTCTGTATCAGCAGACACAATTCAGCATTTCCGATCTTACAGTGGTTTGTTCTGCCTGATCTTGGTGCCTCCAAGAAGGACAAGCCTCT